TACTTGTTTGAATTGTTCACACATTTTAACTATGAAGAAAACTCATTAAGTATAGTCACTGACACTGATGACTCATGCTTGTCAAGAGGCTGAGACCTGAAGGACTGAGGCTCAAAGCCAGCTCAAGCAGAAAAGTCCATGAGACTTTAACTCCAAAATAACCACTAAAACTCCAGCGGGAGGTGTGGCTTAAGTGATAGAGCACTTGCCAAGCAAGCTCAGTACTGGCAATCAAAAGAGAAGTCACCAAGCCGGGCGCTGGTGGCTCACGCCTGTAATCCTAGCTACTCAGGAGGCTGAGATCTGAGGATCACGATTCAAAGCCAGCCCGGGCAGGAGAGACCGTGAGACTCCTATCTCCAATAAACCACCAGAAAACCGGAAGTGGCGCTGTAGCTCAAGTGGTAGAGCGCTCGCCTTGAGCTGAAGAGCTGAGGGACAGCGCCCAGGTCCAGAGTTCAAGCCCCACGGCCGACCAAAATAAATAAATAAATAAATAAAATAAAAAAACAAAACCAAAGAGAAGTCACCAGATAAAAATCAATGACAGAAAATGGAACAAAATATATCAAACACAATAATTATTTTTCCTTTTGAGGCAGGGTTTTATTACATAAATCCTAGGCTGTCTTGAACTCATTCTGTAGCCCAGACTGGTCTGTATCTTGTGATGTTTCTGCCTCTTCCTACAGTGCTAGGATTACAGGCATGTACTGCCATGCTCACTGAATTTGAATCTTTAAACTTGAAGATGAGAAAGTGGAAAGGTGCTAACCTGTTGCACATGGAAACCATGTCAGCTTTGAATGGTTAGAGTTTTACAATGATGAGTGATGGAGCTTGTAAAAATTCCATAGAACCAGGCGCTGGTGGTTCATGCTTATAAATCCTAGCTACTCAGGAAGCTAAGATTTGAGGATCATGGTTTGAAGCCAGCCTAGGAAGGAAAAGTTCATAATTTACTAATTTACTACAAAAAGCCAGAAGTGGAGCTGTGGTTCAAGTAGTAGAGTGCTAGCCTTGAGCAAAAGAGCTCAGGGACAGTGTCCAGACCCCAAGTTCAAGTCCCAGTACGGGCATCAAAAAAAAAAATCCATAGGATACTTAAAAATGATACTGAAAACCATACCCTTGTACTATCATTGAACAGAAAATGTCAAAGATTTAGCCTATAAATGACTAGAATTATAATAGAAAGTAGCTATTGTTTTAAAGTTTTTCCTTCTATGTACAGAAAGAACATCAAATAACATTCTAGTTGTCATCTTGCCTTGACTTAATTACATACAAGCTCACACAAGGCCAAAGACTTTAAATATAGTATATAATAGCCATGATTCATACTTGGCAAAATAAAACCAAACAAAATAGACCTTTTTCTGTGTGCAATCTTCTGAGATTCAGAGTCATGATGTTTTCCCTGTCAAAATGTGTTTATACATATAAAAGGTTCGCTTAGGAAAAGGAAAAAACCCTAGAATAAATTTGTTTTAAAGAATACATCTTTTAGGGCTGGGAAGGTGGCTCAGTGGTAGAGTGCTTGCCTTGCATGCCTGAGGCCCTGGGTTCGATTCCTCAGCACCACATAAACAGAAAAAGCCGGAAGTGGCGCTGTGGCTCAAGTGGTAGAGCGCTTGCCTTGAGCTGAAGAGCTGAGGGACAGCGCCCAGGCCCAGAGTTCAGGTCCACGACCGGCAAAAAAAAAAAAAAAAAAAGAATACATCTTTTAGCTGGGCAGCAGTGGCTCATCCCTTAACTACTTGCTATTCACGAGGCTGAGATGGGAGGATTGTGGTTTGAAGGCAGCCTGGACGGTAAAATCCATAAGCCTCTTATCTCTAATAAACTAACAAAAGAGAAAGAAAAGGAAATAGAAAGCTGGAAGTGGAGCTATAGTTCAAGTGGTAGAGAACTATCCTTGAGCAAAAATGGTCTAGGGACAGTGCCCTGAGTTCAATCCCCAGGACACATCTTTTAGCCAGGTGTGGTGGTTAATGCTTTTAATCCCAGCTACTTAGGAAGCTGAGGCAGGATTGCCAGTTTCAAGCCAGTTCTGGCAGAGATGCAAAATTCTTCTCCTTTTGTTTATTTAGGTTTTTTTTTTTGTTTGTTTAGTTCAAGCAGTAGATCTCAAGGTGCTGGGTTCAACACCCACCTAATTCAAAGTTTGTGACAGATGGGTTCCTGTTTGTAAATCGACAAACAATAACTTAAAAAAATCAAATTCTAACACAAAAAATTAAATTCCCACCTACATATTATCCATTTGGTTGATTTGGGGGAAGTTCTCAGTTAATCAACTGTGTTTACATCATTTTTGATCTCCTGAATGTTTCCCTGACCTTAATTTTCTGATAATCTGCCTGTCCAAAAGCAAGGTAAAAGTTACGATAATCCCCTCTGACAAAAAAAAAGATATGTAATGCACTGAACTGATCAAGTGATATTTGTTGAAAGGCAATGAAGGTGAGCTGTATTATGGGAAAACGAATGAAGCATCCAGAGTACAGCACTAAACTCCTGATTTTTTTTGTTTTTTTGCACTTCTTTCTTTTTCTTTTTTTAAAAAAATCAGTCATGGGGTCTGAACTCTGGCCTGGGCGCTGTCCTTCAGCTCTTCAGCTCAAGGCTAGCGCTCTACCACTTGAACCACAGTGCCACGTCCAGTTTTCAGGTGGTTAATTGGAGATTAAGAGTCTCCTGGACTTTCCTGTCCTGGCTGGCTTTGAACTGTGATACTCAGATCTCAGCCTCCTAAGGAGCTAAGATTACAGGTGTGGGCCACCGGTGCCTAGCTTTACCTTTCTTTTCCTCAACATTAGATCCAAGTTGTACCAAACACACAAAAATGAAAACAACTTCATAAAAACAACATTTAAAGCTTGGCACTGGTGGTTCACGCCTGTAATCCTATTACCAATGACAACAACAACAATAATTAAGCCCGGTGCTGGTGGCTCAAGCCTGTAATCCTTGCTACTCAGGAGGCTGAGATCTTAAGATTGCCATTCAAAGCCATCCCAGGCAGGACAGTCTGTGAGAGTCTTATCTCCAATCAGTCACCAAAAGACCAGAAGTGGGAAGGCTAGCTTGAGCAAAAGAGCTCAGGGACAGCACCCAGGCCTTAAGTTGAAGCCCCATGAGCTAAAACAACGCCCCGCCCCCCCCCACCGCAATAACCCTCCCCCACATACACACCCATAAAATTTGGATTTTAACATAATGTTTCTTTCACTCCCTCCCTCTTCCCTCCGTTGGTAGCAAGTGGCTGCTGCTCTTTCAATACAGTGAGGGGTAAGGCAAGGACAAAAATATCTGGTTATAGCTACCCAAGTGTAATGGGACAATACTCCATATAGCCAGAAGGTGGCAGTATTGTCCACTAGACCATTTCACTGTTTTCTGCATAAAAACTCTTAAACCCTTTTATATTTTCAAGGTCCATACAAGTTAAACTTTCAAAAATATCAACATTTGAGAATGTTCATGTTTTTTGAGAAGAAAAAACAGATGCATATATATCTCACACATAGAATCAGGAAGGTCTTTGCTTACTGGGACCAAGGCACACAAATACTGCTGAAATTATAAACCTACAAGTGATTCTTTGTTGTTGGTGGTGGTCATGGGGCTTGAACACTGGGCCTGCGCCCTGTCCCTCAGCTCAAGGCTAGCACTCTACCACTTGAGCCACAGCGCCACTTCCAGTTTTCTGGTGGTTAATTGGAGATCAGTGTCATGGACTGTTGTGCCCGGGCTGGCTTTGAACCGTGATCCTCAGATCTCAGCCTCCTGAGTAGCTAGGATTACACCAGCTCGCAGTTCAAGTGATTCTTTTTAAGGGGTTGTTTTACATCTCTTGCAGTAGAATTATGAGCTGTCTAGGGGGCTCTTTCCTCTCCCAGAGCTCCATTTCTTATTCTTCCTTTATGACCCTTTGCTTTTGTTTCTCCATCCCTGCTGTATGTACATTGGTAACCTACATGAACAAACTAGTGATTCTACTTGCAAGACTTAATTGTTCAGCAATAGTTTCTCATGTCAAACAAGATGGTAAATAATAATGTTCTTGCTTGATGCTTTTAACGCTAGGGTTACAGGACTAACCTGTAACCAATTAAAGTCATTTGCCCAGTGAGTGATTGTTTTATTTAAGAATTATTTATCCCTTTCATATTTTATTGCACTCTTAGTGGATTGAGTGAGGAGCCCCGGAGTCCTTCTTTTCATTCCAGGGCTAATTACCCTCAGTTCCGAGGTGCTCCTGTGACTACCAATCCTATGAGCAGACTGGATTAACTGGGCTAGGATGAGTTTGGTCACCAGTACGGATAGTAGTTAGTGGTTGGGCTAATGTTATGGGAGACGTCGGGGCAGGAGGATCTCCGGTTCAAGGGCAGCCTGGGTCACCCGGCGAGGCCATGACTTGAAAAAGAAAAGACTGAAAATGAGCAGCGCAGGGTGCGGGGCAGCGCGGCCCCGGGCACGGCGGAGTCCGCAGCCCTGCTCGGCGGCTCGGCGGGCCTCCGGGAGGGCTCAGTGCGGTCAGGTCCTCGCTGGACTTCCAGCCAGCCGGGTCCGGCGGAGACCGCGGACAGACAGCCCTCCAGCGCGGGTGCGCGGGGCGCTGGCGCGCGGGGCGGGGTCGGGCCCGCGGCTGTGCGCCTCCCACGCCCCGCCTCCGACCCGGCGCCCCGGCCCCGCGCCCCCGGCCGGCCCGCGTCACTGCCCGCGGCCGCGCGGCGCCCCCTCGCCCGCGTCACCGATCTCCGCCGCGCGGTCCCGCGCGGCCCCCCGGGGCGGGCGCGGGGCGGGGCGAGCGGACGCCATCGCGTCGCTGGCGGCCGGCGGCGGCGGCGGCGGCGGCGGCGGCGGCGTCCTGGGCAGCATCGAGCGGCCGCCCGGCGTCCGGGCCGCCCGCCCCCGCCTCTCCCCCCGCCCAGTCCCCGCGGCGGCGGCGGCGGCGGTGGCGGCGGCGGCGCGCGGCCGGGTTGGGCGGCGGCGGTTCGGGGATGAGGAGGCGGCGGCGCGCGGAGACGATGCTCCGGAGCTGAGCGGACGCGGCGCACCGAGCGGGATGGCGCAGGCGGCAGGCCCTGCCGGCGGCGGGGAGCCGCGCGGGGAGCCGGCGGAGCTCGGCGCGGCCGCGGGCCCGCAGGACTCGCTGAGCCTGGCGGAGATCCTGCGGCTCTACAACCAGCCCATCAACGAGGAGCAGGCGTGGGCCGTGTGCTACCAGTGCTGCGGCTCCCTGCGCGCCGCCGCCCGCCGCCGGCCCCGCCGCCGCGTGCGCTCCGCCGCGCACATCCGCGTCTGGAGGGACGGCGCCGTCACCCTGGCGCCCGCCGGCGACGAGGGAGAGCCGACCCCCGCCGCGGGTGAGGCCCGGCGGGCGGCCGGGGGCGGGGAGGGCCGAGGAGGGGAGGACCCGGGAGAGGAGGGGGGGGAGGGAGGGGAGGACCGCGAGCGAAGGAGGGCCGGGGCCGGGGGTCCGGCCAGGGCTGGGCCTGCGCCCGGCTGTCTGCCCGCCGCCCCGGGGCCCCGGCCGGGCTTACCCGCGGAGCCCGCTCACCTGCGCGGGGCTGGTGCCGGGCTCAGGTACCGGCGAGCCCGCGTGAGATCTCCGAGGCAGGACGATGACAGCTTTCTAAAGAAGCGCCCGGTGTTTACAAATGTGACTATTCGGCTTCTTCGGACGCCTCGAGGGTTCTGCTGTTCCTGGGGAGGAATGGAAACCCAGACGAGGGGCTTGGGGTCGTGGGCGTCAGGACACGGATTCACCGGTGTGCTAAAGTTCGTTGCGGTGCAAACCAGAAAGCGGATGAAAGGCGAACACGGGTTCGGTTAGCTATTGTCTCCTGCAGATTCCCGAGGATCTGTCCCCCGAACGGTGACACACACAGCCAGGCGGACTCACTGAGGATGAGGAGAGGTTGATAATTGGTTGCTCCTACCCGGTTTTTACCAAATGCCGTCTTCTGAGAGGCAGGTCGATTAAAAACAGAGAAAAACAATCCACCCTCTCTCCAAGAAATTGTCAAAATGCTTCAGGTGAAAGATGTGATCCCAGAATAGTCAGAAAAATGACGTGTAAAGGAAATCCTTTTCTAAACTGATGAAAGCATTCAAGATTATGTTTTCATTCCACCAGACATCTGTACGTTTCTTTTTTAGTTAATCGCCTTTGTGTTGTTTTTACTTTTTGAAGGGATACATAGGAAACTTAAACATTTTCTCTTTAATGGGATATCAAGTGATATCCCATTAAATTGGTAAATGTGTACATTGTATGAGATGTAAATAAAGCCAGCCTTTTAAGGATTCTTTTGAAATAATTTTTATTTCAAATAGTCTTCAGATTCCATCTGTTTTGTGTTTGTGTATTGGATAGAATAGTGGGAAGTACTTGGTGTTTTGCTTGTTTATAGTATTTTAAGATGGCATGGGAAGACACCTTTTTAAAATGCAGGGAAGCAGTGTCAGGGTGTTTTATTTTTATTGTCGTTCATGGGGCCTGAACTGGGCCTGGGCACTGTCCCTGAGCACTTCAGCCCAGGGCTAGCACTCTACCACTTGAGCCACAGTGCCACTTCCTGCCTTTTCTGCTTATGTGGTGCTGAGGATTCGAACCCAGGGCCTCATGCATTCGAGGCAAACACTCTACCACTGAGCCACCTTCCCAGCCCCTCGCTGTTTCAAGAGGAAAAGAATTTGTGTGCAGCTCACTTTTTGAAGCATCACTGGGAATGGTTGCTTCCAGAAAGAACAAATCTCATGATTATATGTCTTAAACTTTAGTGTGTTGCTTAGATAAGAGTGTTAGATTGGCTGGGTGCCAGTGGTGCATGCTTGTAATCCTAGCTACTCTGGAGGTTGAGATCTGAGGATTGCCTTTCAAAATCAAGCCCAGGCCAGAAAGACAGTGAAACTCTTATCTCCAGTTAACCATCAGGAAACTGGAAGTGTCGTTGAGGCTCAAAGTGGTAGGGTACTATCCTTTTGGTTAGGGAACTTAAAATCTGGGCAAGGTGTAAATTCGGTAAGAAATGTAAAGTGACAAATACTTTATTGACCTTTTTATCCTATGGTCCTTTGTCATACCACCATAGTGCCTCCATGGTATCTTAATTCTGAATCAGGACAGATGTCCAGGTCATGGTTTCTAAACTATGGCTTGACTGACATTTTTGGCTCAATACTTCTTTGTTGTGGGGCTGTCCTATGTGGTACCTCAAATCTCAGCACTGCAGGCTTTATGGCTGGATGCCAGTAAACCCCTCCCTCAATCGTGAGAATAAGTCTTCAGACCTTGCCATCTGGACCACGCAAAATTATCCTGGTTGAGAACTGGTCTAGCAGATGATGGGTGGTGCCATGTCTGTGTTCAGTGTGAAGTGGATTTGGCTCAGTCCTGAAGCCAATGAATCTGTCTACTGCTATTCATTCAAGTGAGTGACATTGACCCTCACCACCACCACCACTATCACTCCATCTCAGCCCAGGAAAAGAAAGAGCACTTTACTTGCTTTTACTAGCTTGTTTGGGGACTGGATATAGTAGTAACTGAATTTTTTACCTTTTTAAAGTTCCTCTATTCTTTTTTGGTATTGGGGTAAATCCATGGTTTTGTGCATGCTAGACAAGTGCTCTGCCACCCTCCCAGGCCACAATTTACTTTTATTTATTTATTCATTTTTGGTGCTGGTCCTGGAGCTTGAACTCAGGGCTTGGAATCTAGAGGATTTATGCTTCTTTGTAGTTGGCTTAGCACTTGATTTTCCCCAATGTTTATGCAGTATGGTTGTGATGGACATTACCGTGGGGAAGGTTTATTAGGTCCAGTTTAATGAGGTTTCCCCTTCACACCCCGGTGACTGAGGTATCACAAGCATGTGAGCTCTGTGAAGCCTCACCAGCGTGACCCACTGGCATTCAGCTCACATTTTGGTATCTTTAGAAAGTGGTGACTGATGAAATTTAGGAGATGTCCTAGATAGTCATAAGATTAGAACATTGATTTTTCTGAGATGTCACAAAGGACTGTTAATGGCGGAATATTAGTGATTAGACTCATTAGTCCTCTAGTAATTAAAATACCCATCTGACAGTAATCACTTCAAACTTTTCTTTCAGTTTTTTTGATGGACTATTCATTTTAGATTTATAACCAATACTTAAAATATGATGGCCGCATTTTTATCTTAAATAATCTTAAGGTTGGTAATGAGTTAAGCTTTCTAGGCAGATTAGTGAAGGCTATATGCATACTAATACTGGGGTCCCTTGAACATGGCTTCTAGGTGTAGGGGTTGGAAAGAGGATGTGATCAGTCAAGCATCTCAGCAAGGTTCATGATCATTTGGTGAGGAAAATGACTGTGGAATACTATTCTGTTTGAATTTAAAGAGCCAGAATATTTAGGGAAAAGAAATGGTCAAAACACTGTGTTTGTGTTTGTGTGTGCATGCGTGTGTGTGCATGTGCGTGGCTGCTAGTACTGGGGCTTGAACTTGGGACCTACTTGCTGGCTTTTAGCTTTTTTCACTCAATGCTGGCGCCCTACTGTTTGAGCTACCACTGCTTCACTTCCAGCTTTTTGGTGTTTAATTGGAGGTAGAGTCTTGCGGACTCTTCCTGGGCTGGCTATGAACTGTGATCCTCAGATTTCGGCCTCCTAAGTAGCTAGGATTACAGGTTTGAGCCACCAGTGCTTGTCACGAAAATCTTTAAAAAACCTTTTTTTTTTGAGATGGAGTCTTTTGGACTTTTCTGAGTAGCCTCAAACCATTATCCTCCCAATCTCAGCCTCCCAAGTAGCTAGAATTATAGGTATGAGTCACTATCCCCAGCAACTTTTGGAATTCCTCAGTATTTCTGTTAATGTCCTCGTTTGTGTATTTCTACAGAAATACGCAAAAACCATTTCACACCTAAAATCTTGAGGAATACTGGTCATGTGTTTTGTGAAAAGTCTATTTGTGTTTGCCTGATGTTTCTGAGTTTGGGGTATGATTACTAGAAAAGTGAAGGCTCTTCTCATCACATCACATTGGGGTGCACACTGTATCCAGCGTGATGTGTCACCTGGGTCCTCGGTGAAGACAGCCTTTACCAGATTTCTCCACTAAAAGTTACTATTTCCCCCTTTTCTGTACTCTTGGTTAGAATTGTGTTGCTTTCTCCAGCTTTCAGTCATGGAGTCCAGGCAGTCAGATCAGCTCCATCATGCATAAATACCCCCATTTGCAATTCTTCTGTAAGGAAGATTTGTCCTTTTTTCTAATCTGCCTATTTATTTTTATCAGTCTGGACTTGCAGGTATTTTATACTTTGGTGGCTATCCACTTCACATTCTTCTACTGCTTAAGTTTTTTTTCTCCAGCTGTGGCCATTGGGGCACTCCTTTGGTGGGCCACTATTCCCTTTCACATAGACATCCTTTAGTGGAATACATCCTTGCTTTCTGGCACTACAAACTCATCATGTGTATTTCCTGCCCAGCCCTAGACCTAGCCGTATCTCTAAGGAGCTCTGGATCCTTGAATTGGAGAATGATATGAATCAAGATTGAAGAACTGGGTGTGTTATGTGTTGCTACTAGAATTGTTTTATTATTTTTTATTGTAATTTTAATTGTGTGTATGTGTGTGTGCATATGAACATGTGTGTGTGCATGCGTGCATGTTTGTGTACTGGTCCTGAGGCTTGAACTGGGGGTCTGGTGCTGTCCCTGAGTTTTAGTGCCCAAGTCTTCACACTCTACCACTTAAGCCATAACTCCATTTCTGACTTGGTTCATTGGAGATGAGAGTCTCATGGACTTTCTTGCCTGGGATGGCTTTGAACCACAATCTTCAGATCTCAGCCTCCTGAGTAGCTAGAATTACAAGCATGAGTTACTGGCTCAATGTAGTCCTAATTTGTATTTTTCTGATGGCTAATTAGATTGATTACCTTCTTTATTGGTTATGAAGATATTTCTTAGTGAAATTCTTGTTTACATCTTTTGATCATTTTCCCCTTATTGTTGTTTTTGGTAAGATATACGTAAAGAGGTTGCAGTTTTAACCTTTTGATTTCATAGCATTAATTACATCTACAGTAATATACAATTATCGCCACTATTGATTTTTAGATATTTTGTCCCTCCCCCCGCCCCAGTCTTGTTAGATAGCCTGGGCTTGGTTTAGGTCTTCTGTCTTCATCTATCTCTTTTTTGTTTGTTTGTTTTGGGTCCGGTTGTGGGGCCTGAACTCTGGGCCTGGGCGCTGTCCCTCAGCTCTTCAGTTCAAGGCTAGCGCTCTACCACTTGAGCCATAGCGCCACTTCCGGCTTTTTTCTTTTTGCTTATGTGGTGCTGGGGAATCGAACCCAGGGC